TTTATGTCTGCCAAAATCTTACCATCGATCATTAGATGAATAGGTATTCAGGCAATGGAAAGCCTAATCGAATACGTGTCACAATGCACAATCCCTTGGATATTTTTCTCGCGAAAGGTCCTACTGTAAGGTATGCGTGATGACGAAGATAACAAGGACGATCTTGGCGAGGTCGATTAGTCACGAAGTGCTTACTTGTTATCGCGATACGCGTCATTGTTCTCGGTAATTTTGTTGCTCGACAATATCGGAGAGAGAGAATCGTATAGATGACTTCTATAATCCGCTTCAAAAATCGGCATGAATAAGAAGGTCGAGATGACGCGGTCGATCATCCAGCCATAACTCGCAGCAAAAATTATTATTAACGCAGCATCAATGAAAATACTATTTTATTAAGTTTTAATATCATAACTTTTAATTGTTAGATTTAATATACAAATTTTTAACTGTTGTCTAGGTATAAGTACTTTGAGAAAAAGTGATTTTTTTTTTTTAGTAGAACAAGGTTTTCTTCCACTGTTTTGGGAATATTCAATTTAAAAAATTGAGAAGAAATTATAAATATTTTGTTATGTGACATAAATAATATCTAGAATTTCTAATAGAAATTATTAGAAGTTGGCGTATATGTAAGAATTAAGTGTATATACGTTTAATATTGTCTGCAATTAATCTAAAAGTAGTGCTCCCGAACGAAGAGAGATTAATTTTAGCATTTTAAAATATAGTTTTGCAAGTCAAACATTAAAAAATGTGAGGATTGATTCAGAACATGTAAATATTTATACGATATATCTCATGGGGTAGACGTAGCGTGTCTCCGGATGGGACACATCGTCGATTCAGACCGATATCTCCACCAAGAAATGTTATGTAAGAACCGCCTCGTACTGGCCGTGAACTTAACGGCGTCGTCGTCGTGATCGTCGCAGTCGAACGCAAACGCTTCCCTTTTCACGCACTTTACGCACACGTCCGGTGCACTCGGATATGCACGAAAGAATATACCTATACGGACTTCAATATTCAACTTAGTGCTTTTTATCACAGAAATATACAGTAAATAACTCTTATTAGAACAAAGAGGAAAAAAATGGATGGCATATTAACGATATATATAACGATTTAATTAATTTAACCTACTTATTAATTTAAAAATAAAATAGATATGCAGGAATAAAGTATAAATATCTATAACTACATTTCTTTGTTTTCTTGATATAACTATTAGCCGATTTTTTATATTATTTCTTTTATCTTCGAGTCTCCATAAAGTTATTACGTTTAAAATAAATTCAGTATGGTAATCAGTATAGTATTCAATATATTCTACTTTCTTTGAAAAAAATTATAAATATATAATGAAAGACGGAAATTAAGAGATAAACTCAGTATAGAGATAAAGTTCGACCCTTTTTAACTCTCAATAAAAAATCGCGAATCTATCTTTGTAAACATATAATTATAGAACTGTTGAACAATTATCAAATTTATATCTAGAAATGTATCATTCGTTGACCTATCTCACTATTTGCTTTCGCTTATAACAGTATGTAACTCAATAATTTATTTTTAACTTTTAACTGTTCTAAATCGTATCATCTAACATGTATGCTTAGATAAAAATTTTGTAAGTAATTTATAATTAGAAATTAATCAAAATTAGTAATATACATATATATTAATTATAACGAATAACATTTAATGTCAAATTATCTTTTTTAAATTTAACAGTATAGGATTTTAGATCTAATTAATCTTAGGTCTAACAAATAAAAGTAAATAAAGATTTACAATGTTGTTTTTTATATAAAAAGTTTAGATTTTAATATAATTATATTCATATTAAATTATTTAAATAATAAAATTGTTATGAATATAACCAATAACCTATTTTTAAGTAAACTTTCCCTATCTGCATGAGATAAAACTACTTAAGATACTTTTCGTGATAGTGCTGATAAAAAATTATTCAGTAACTAAAATTCTTCCACGTACTCGGAGCAGTTAAGGATTAAACATCAAACGCAATTCTGATCTCTGATGTTCTGTCTTTAACGCAAAAGTTTACGTTTGTTTTTTGAGAAATAAATCATTTCCACATCACTTCTCACCTTCTCAGACGCGATCTTACCAAAGAAACATTATTCCAACATAAATCCAGATATCCAGATATCCAAAAATCAGCAATTCTATTCTCAAAATATTGTATATTCTAAATCCTCGGTGCTCTAAAAAGTTCAGCCAAAAAGCAAGAAAGTTGCCTATAATTTAATAAAATTTTAAATGGTTTTAATATAAAAGTCATTAAAAGTTTAGTAAAATTGATTCAAATCAAAATAATAAGCTTCTAAATCTTCATAGAAAAAAGTAGTAATATTTTGTCATAGAAACAATTCTTTACTTTTTAAAATATTTAACCAATTAGCCAATTAAGCTTGAAATTCTATTGTTAATATTAATTTGCAAATGTATACATTATGTATATAAAATAGAAAATGTGAGCAATATTTGTTTGATTGATTGTTTTTTGTTTTTTGTTACAAAATATAAATTTTTGTTATAAAAATATTTTTACAATACAAAAATTTTATTAATATAATTTTACATAAAACTATTACAACATTATTTATATAAAAGTAATTTATTTAATATTAGAAAATATAAAAGTGCAATAAATAGTAACTTTCTATAAAATATTTATAATAAAACGGAAGTAAATTTTCAAATGTCAAAGAGATTGATTAAAATCTAAAGTAACAGAAAACAGATGTTTGGAAATTGATTACACCGAGGTTAATAATCGTAGTCTCTTCTTCAGCTTGGCGTGATAAAAAATGATCTGAGAGTGAGGGAGAGAATGACGGAAAGAGCACATGAGAGAATAAATCTTGTTATTAGAAAAGAAGAGAAGCAAATATACCATGATTTTCTTTAATGTTTATTGATTAATTCCTAAAAAACTGAAGCGAAAGAGTCATGTGCATGTTTTTTAATAAACTGCAACGAAAACTTATTGAAACTAGCAAAATAATTTTATCGGACTTGGCGCGATTTCCAAAGAAAGATTAATTTGTTAAAAATGGCTCTAATTGGTAGATTTTAGTGAATAATTAATTACGCTATTTAATAAAAGTGTTTAAATACGTACGCACACAGTAAAGTAAATAAAAAAATTTTTTTTTTTCTCTTTTAAACTTGTCTTGTGTGTGCACTGTTCATTCTTCTTTTATTTCATTTTGCTAGTGCATGAATAAAAGTATATTATTAACATCACATAAATTTTGAAGGAATAATTATTATGTCTAGACTTAATATATTACTGCAACAGAATTTTGGAATAATTTCGTCATTTATTATAATTTATGTTTTTTTTTTTCGTTATTTTATAGTATTTTTATACGAATTATGAATAAATTATAATTTTCGACACATGCTTTATAACAGTTTTCATAAATATTATAAATATATTAAAGATTTGTCCAATATGTTTTCTATTCTACTTCTATTAAAACTTTTATTTTCATATATTTGTTATTTATTTCTCTAGCATTTAATTTTTTGAAATTAAAATGCAGCGAGAATTCACGTGTAGGTAAATAATATAAATAAAATAAAAAATAATGTAAAATTATAATACTTATAGATATTATCTCCTAAATGATATAATATGAAAATAAATCTCCGAAATTTTTCCGATATGAAGTTTTTTCTCTATTATTCACAAGCCTTAATTAATTGCTATTTAAAAGACTGCCGATTCCATTCATTGTCGCAGCAGATTTGGCTCTGTTGCTACCTTTTATACATATATCCGTACGTGGACTAAATCCACGAATACATTGCGTACTTTAAGCGTACTGGTCTACCTGTATTAATCCAGATAATGGGAATGTGGTCCTTTCGAGGTGTGATTTTTTAGCGCTAAACGTTCGTGATTTTGATTAAATCGAGACAGATTATAAAATGCAAATGATAAACTAGTATAATATACTTTGAGTTTACCGACTTGCCTGAAACGTTATTCAGATTAGGTGTTTCGTAATAATCTTTATATAACCACATGTTGTTACCCTTTGCTCACGAATAGAAATGAATTAAAAATGGTAGCTAGATTTTTTAAGAATTGTTTCTAGTGTTATTAAAAATGATTGCTTTTTTGATACAACTCCGGTTACTAACTTATTTATTCGGTTACAACTAATTTATTTTATTTAAAACTGAAGTCATGGAAGCATTTGGTGACAAACGCATCAATGAATTGTAATATTTATACGATACGTCAAAGTGATGAGCAACATGATTCAAATAGAAAATATTAAAATTTGATAATTGAATCTTTATAATTCATAGTCATCACGCAATATTTAGATATTGTATTTGTCCCACGCACACATTGTTATATATTAAATCTCTATTGTTACCATTAATGTATTACTTATTAGTCACTTTTAATCTTTTCTGTTTTAATATAAAATATTTCTTTTTAAGTTACATTTTTTCTACTTTTTATACAAAATAAAACACTAGAGAGAGACTCCTTAAAATATGTCTAAAAGCATAAAAAAATATTTTAAACACTCTTGCAAAACTCACTTCTGTGGCTAAAATTTCTAATATTTACCTAATCTTATTAAATGTGTCTCAGCTGGGGTCTCAGCTATTCTTAAAACAAATTTCTTTATCCAAACTAAATATTATAAGTTTATTCAAGTATATTAACTTGTGGAACGGCACATGTTTATCACTGAAACAAACTTAGACGAAAAATTATCTTCCACAAAAGCATCACTAATCCGTAGTTGTCTGGATTCGCGTAATCAGTAAAAGTCTTTTTTCTATCTTACGCAATAGACTGAGAATTTTAATCGCACATCGTTTTACTGATAAAGAGTACAGATACGTTAGATATGTCAAACGACTTAAATACGACGAAATATTTACGAAATGATATACATAGATACGTCGTAAGAAGTGATAATTGCTATTTCCCTTACCGAGATGGACCGCCAGGTTGTATCTCTCGAGTGCCTGACCCAGGTGACCCTTCCTCAAGAGGATATCACCCTCGTGCCTCGCCCGACTGGCCTCCGCTTCTCGCGGCCACCATCTCTCCACGAGTCTTTGCACTAGCACATTCGTTTCACTCACCATAGCGATTTTAAGCCCGCACACGCGACAGTTCTTCGACGGATCCACGCAGTTCCTGCAATACGTGTGACCGCAGCCGGCGGTCACCGGTTGACAGAGGGTGCCTTCGCACAGGGGACACGCGAAGGATGTCTCGAACCTCCGTCTGGAGCTCGTCCCGACGCCAACCATATCCTCCAGGAGCGCGGTCGCCAGGTGTTTCAGTCTTTCGGCCGGCACGGACATCGCGGCCGAACACCTGGAATAGATCTCGATGGACTCCCTGACGCGGCCGCACTTGACCAAGGAGTCGCCGTAGTCCAGCAGCACCTCGTAGCTCGATCCCTGCTGCTTCAGACATCGTTCGTACAGCTCGACCGCCAAGTGGTAGTTGCGGGAGGTGAACGCCTCCTTGGCGAGCTCCGTCATCGCGAGCGCTGCTCTTCGTGCGTCACTCTTCGGGAATGAAAAACGCCGTGTATCCTTTCACGACGCGTTTCCCTCTACGAGTAACTCGCGTACGCGCGTCAGACGTACCTCTCGATAAAAACCGCTCGATGCCGGTTTCGTGCTGTTGAAGACGACGTACATCTTTTATAGAGATTACGAATATTACGTGGGGTTGCGCGACACGGAAACACGATTCACCGGAAATCAGGAATATGGTTGCACGGTCACTTGACCCCCTCAGGAACAGATTCACCGGCGATGATTCACTTAGCGGGATTCACCGGGAATCGTCGGAGCGACACGCAGAGAGTTTGACAGCTGGCTGTCCACGCGTGCTGCTCCGCACGTTAACGCGCGCGCGAGACCGCTTCACACGGCACGCTGGCGCACTGAGGACTGACGCCTCGGCTGTCATCGGTCGGCCGAGCCACTGTCAGAGTCGGCCGCTCGGCGCTCGGTCGACCGTCAGCAGGGGATGGTGGTGGTGACGGTGCTGGCGGCGCGGGCGGCGGCAGCGGTGGCGGTGACGGCGGCGGTGGAGGACTGGAGGAGTGCAGCCGTCAGAGCCGCCTCCTTATTCGAGATACGAAGCCAGCGCCACGCGGCTTCGGATACACCACGGCTTGGTTCGGGAGGTCGCGGAGGGAATTACGGACCACGCTGCACCGGCTGCACGTAGCTTGAGGAGCGTGTTGCCGCTTTACTTGTACCGTAGCGGCGTGTCTGCCACGGCGCGTAGGTGTTGTTGCCGCACTCCCGACGCTGCTTCCACCACCCGGCAAGGCAGCGTCGTCCAGCGAACCTCGTCTCTTTGTCTGCCGAGTGCCCCCTGATCTCCGGCCCTCATTATTGAGCAAATTGTTATTGTCATGTGCAACGGTGTGACGCGGTGATATCTTTCTACCGTTCAGAGATTTCGTGGAATAAATCCGTGATTTTTGTCTATTTTTCTCAAGCTTCTTTATGTCACGTTTTTGATGTTACGGTTGATAAGAAGCTTCTTGCTTTATCTACGGATTTTATTGGTCCAGGGATTGATAAAAATCGTAATCGTTTCTCTTTTCTAAATTTTTTTTAATCTTTAACTGGTCTTTGTAATTTATAATGAATAAATTTTACGCTTAAATTATCCTTGTAATTTATAGTAATATATAGTTCTGATTATTATTTATCATTATTTTGATTTTATCTACCTGTTATAAGGCAAACAAGTCTTCGTTGCTTTTATTTATTTTCCCTATTTATGAGATAGTACCTATAATTCCACATTATAGGTACCATATATAATACATGAAGCACAAATTATATATACATTGAGAAAACAAATTTATTAATTCCAAGAAATATTTAGTCCGATACGTTCAACTAAACATTTTAGTTAGTTAACTAAACATTAGTTGAATTAATTAATTCTTGATTCAAGAAACTAAATAAATTGTTAAAACAACTAATGTTTAGTTAACTAACTGAAATGTTTAGTTGAACGTATTGGACTAAATATTTCTTGGAAATATTTTTTTCTCAGTGTAATAATTTGCACTTAGAATCTTTTCATTTTATTTCTGTGAGGACATAAAATTTATTTAATAAGCAGAGAGTCTGTTTATCAAAATGCTTCTTTTAATATCTTTAAAATTGTTTAAGTTTATAAATCTGCTGAGTTAAAAAGGACCACACTATTTTCTTATCACGTACGATTATATAAGTATCGATATATCACTTTAGAATCCAATAACGTCAGTGGTTATCGGTTAGTTCAGCGACGTATCAAATCGCTTTCATTCCCCATTAATATCCTTCACATCCTCGCATCCACTCTTGTCACTCTTTTCATATCAAGATCCAATTACAAATGGTTTTTGATATCATCGAGTTTCGTATAGCGAATTTTATTCGAGATACCTTCCCGGACACTTGTTATAACTTTAGCTCGATCGGGTTCTTCTAACGGGAATGGTCTTGCCGGAATCACGTCGGATGTGCGCAAACTGTACGATGGCACATTTCAGGAAGAAGAAGCGTGATTGCACTATCGATGTATAGCAACGTGGAGCAAGAATGACAAGTTTTTTTAACTAATAAAAGTCACTTTTCACCAGCAAGTGTCGATCTTCTGATATCCAGAGTTCTCACTAAACCTGAACACAGTAACTCTGTCCTGAGATATCCCGCTTGTCATGTGCGTAAAGGGAGTACGCAGACGCCACAGGACCGCTCTTCGAATCGAAAGGAGAGGGCTGAACTGCGAGAGCAGCAAGGGAAAGGGTGGCGAAGAATGAGAGATCAATATAGCGAGTTCACGGGGTGTTTAACCCCTTGCACTTACCGTCTATCTATGGAGTGTTCTCTTTTGCTGTATCAAAATTTAAGAATAAATCGCTTTGAAATTGATTTTTCCTAAGCAAAAATTTTGAGACTTTAGCAAGAGATTCAATATAAAAAATCGTACTCTTATTGTAAACTAAGTGTTAATCAGTACATATTGATATTTTATTATTTGAATGCTTTTAAATGGACTTTATCTAAATAATAGTTATTTAATGCTTGGTTGAAAAAATATTTAATATAGTAGGTATGTGTATAAAGTTACATTAAATCCACAGCATTAATTTTATTTAAATAATAAAAGATGTTTCATCAAAATGATTATTTATTGATCTAATACTATAAATCTAGGGATCTAATTTCATTTAATTTTTTTTATATATTTACGATTTTTTAACAACTATTTTACGTTTAGTAGTGTACTGTATATAACGCAATCTAAATAGTCTTATCTATTCATTTGCGATGGATAGATCACAAGCAATATAAAATAAATTAGATCTAATATTAATTCGAGAGAGATTAGATCGTTATAATGTATTCGTATTATAATAACAGACAGAAGATATTTATTTATGTATATGTTTCTCTTTAAATCTATCAATATTTAAATTGATGCAGATAATGATTGATGGATTAGATCTATATGGATTTATACAATCATAGCGATTCATGATACTAACAATTCACGAATTTCTAATGACATTATGTGTAAATAAATGCTTAGATTAAACATATAAAATATCAAGTGAATGTACCTACTTTTTTGTTAAAATGTAATTTGATACGTTTATTTTTAAAATAAAAACTTTAATTAATATAAAAGTATCTAATGCAACAATTTTATGCAACGTGTATTCAAATATAAATATCAGCATTGCTGTCATCGAGAAATTCTTGATATTTTATTTATCATTCGTGAATGAAATTGATATATCGTTGCCAACCGATAACGCATTGTATATATATATATATATTTTTTTTTTTAGCAAAGTTGAGAAATTACGGTACATATTTTAATAAATAAATACAATAATAAAAATAATAAAATATTTAGTAATTAATAAACTCTAATCGATAGACGCTGATAGCAAAAAGCTTATTACTAAGCTTCCGGATGATGATGTATTAACATCTAATTTAATCAGAATGATATACAGATATACCTACATGCCATTCATTACATGCGCATTTACGCAGTTCGATTCAATTGCGTTCGAAATTATGCGCGTAATCGTTATGCTAGGATGTGAGGTGAACTGTCAATAGCCGGAATAAAACAAACGCGCGTATTGATACTCTTACGTGATTGCTTGAGATATTTAGATTATGCGTTTGTCACGCAGCGGGTAAGCAAAGCATAACAAATGCGATGACGTATTTTGTTATTTAACAGCGGAATAATGTTGAATAAATCAATAAACGACTAGACACTTATAAGTAATCAGGACTTATAGATTATAAGAGCATCGATAAAAATTAATGGTTATTAAATGCTTATCGTATTATTCTAATTTGTTTGTAATATATTCCCGTTTTAATAAGTGGAAGTATCTTTCTGCTGAATCTGAAGTGACACACTCTTGCTCGTAACAGTTTTCTGCAACTGCTTTGCATTCCACGAATAAATTTACTTCCTAATCACGAGATATAACTAGCGGGGAATTTTGATGATAAATGGGAAGATATACTGTGTATATTTATTTTTTATATTGTTATGTAACAAAGAATATTAGTGTTTCTGCGAATCAAATTTTGCAAACTGTGTTATATTAACCGCATTTAGTAAGAACTTTCGATTGCAATATAAATAAAATATAGAAATAGAGAAGACTGAAGAATATAACAAAATTAAAAATAGACCGATATCTTAAAATTTACAGAAGTTAAAGCTATTACAGACATTTTTCTAAAAATTAGAGACCTTTGATCGCGTATAAAGCTGAATCTAATCAACCAAATCTTAAAGAATTATATATGAAATAGGGGTAGAAAAGACTAAAAAATATAATAAAATTAAAAATAGATCGATATCTCCAAATTTGCGGAAATTAAAGCATAAACAAACATTTCTGAAAAAAATCAAAATTTTATTAAAAAAGAACCCCTTGATTATTAGCAATTTTTATTATTTCTATTATATTCTTCAGTTTTTTCTACCCCTATTTCATATATAATTCGTTAAGATTTGGTTGATTAGTTCTGGACTTATAGAAATTTTGGTAAATTTGGCACACACACACACACACACACACACACACACACACACACACACACAC